GGGGGGGGGGGGGTGAAGAGGTGGAGGGAAGGGCAAAGTCGAAATCGATTATCGCGAGCGTTCGCGTGACGATTGATAATAACCCGCGTCGACGCGGGGTAATTACGGTTTTGTCACGTTCGTCGCGCCACAGGGAATATGTGGCTAATCCGTTGTTCCATGCCGTTGTACTTGCCGCGGTGTCTGTTGTTAAACGAGATTAACGAGATCAACGGGGGGATTAACGAGCGCCGCGTGAGAGAAAGATAGATAGCGAGAACAAGAGCGCGGGCGAGCGAACGGGCGTCGACGGAGGGACGCGGTGTTCCCGTATTTCGTTCGAACGACGCGTCGTCTTGATACCGTATCGTGTACCATGGCTTACCGCATATATCGTGTATACCGTTCATCCGCGAGTCTACCGTTTTTGAGACGGAGGAAGAAGTTCCTCTTTCTCTTTCTTTTTCTATCTGTATGTGTATGTATGTATGTATGTGTATATATATATTTTTTTACATACACACACACACACACACACACACACACACACATATATATATATATATATATATATACACGATATCGAAGCATGTCATCGTAATGGGATATCGGGAATCCGCTTGGCGATTCCGATATACTCGACTTCCTCGCGATATAACAGTCGTAAATAGCGGGACGTATGTCGCCGCGTCTCTACATGCGACCGACAAGAAGAAGAGGAAGAAAGGCATCGTTATTTGTGCGCTTTGCAGAGAAGCTCGATATCGCCAGCCGAGAAATACAGCCGACCTCGCAGCCCGCAAGAAACCACTCATCACTCTCATAACTCTCAGAGTCATCACGACCATTCAATGCACCCGATGAAGAAGATAAAGAAGGATCACGATAAGGACACAATTCATGTAAGTGGCTCGGAAAACTTGGCGGGTAAGATAAACTTGTTATCGGTTCCCGAGGAACGCTAAGCACACTTTACCGCATTCCTCGACGGACTCTAATGGTCATAGTCGGCCGATGGACGTTAATTTTGTCGGTGTTTTGCGCACAGAGCGACGGTGAGAAAAGCGACCAAGACCTGATCGTGGACGACGCGAGTGAAGGCCCAAGCAGTCCGATCGTGAACGGTGCATCCTCGCCACCGCGCGAAAATGGTCTTGACAAGGCCGTGGTGACCTCGTCATTGACCGCTAGCGTGCAAACCCTGAAAAAGGACATAACGCCACCATCCCCGAGAAGTGGGACGAGTAGCAACGCGAGCACGCCGTCCACCAAGAAGATGGAGGAACAGGAGAAAACAGCGACATCGATTTCGAAGCCACTGACACCTACCTCCGGCACTGCCGTGATCGGGACCCCCGGCAAGTCTACCCCCAACAGTAAGCTGATGCAAGGCGTGACTGTACAAGGTGTACCAACCTCGCTGTCCGGTGTAGCCACATATTCGCCGCACTATCCGTCGGGTGGGCCACCACCGCCGCATCATATCGCCCCGACCGGCCAACATCCCCACGTCGACGTGATGGCATATAATGGGTATGTGACGCCGCGAGCACCTGCTTCGCTGCAACAACTCTATGATCCCCACGCGGCCTTGCGGGCTCCGATCGGAATACCCGGGGGCAAGCCGTGAGTATACGACGAAGCAGCATGACCGACTTGCCTTGATCGTAAGAGAGCTTTGGTAACCCGCTAACCCTGAAACTCTGGCCACAAAGAAGGCTCACATGTCCTTAACAACGCAGCTATTCATTTTGCACTTTTTACGGAGGTCTCTTGTGATTCCAGCAAGTTGGTGAAAATATGAAAAGTTTTATATATATATATTTTTTTTTTGGGAGGGAAGAGGGGTGGAGTTTGCTGTATTAGTGGATTGCCTCTGTAGCGTTTCAGGTTGTTAAAAATTTGACGGTTGTCGAACTTTTCTTGTTAGCGACAAGTCGTACGCGTATAACGATGATAATAATAATTTTCTCGAGAACGCGCAGCGATGAATGAACTTTACACGTTCACACGTGATGTTAGTCGCGAAACCGCGGAGACGCGCGAAATTTCCTGCCGAGGTCGTGCTGAAGTTTCAAACGAGAACGGAATTACGCGGCGAAAAGGAAGTCGAACGATTAACGCCGCCGGCGGCGCGGTTAAACGAGGAGGAAACTTATCGTGATCGTTCCGCGATGGAATGATTTCGCAGTGCATACAGCTTCCACATATCCGACGGTCAGATGCAGCCGGTGCCGTTCCCGCAGGACGCGCTAATCGGGCCGGGTATACCGCGGCATGCCCGTCAGATCAGCGCCCTGAATCACGGCGAAGTCGTGTGTGCGGTGACGATCTCGAACCCCACCAAGTACGTTTACACCGGAGGTAAAGGGTGCGTCAAGGTCTGGGACATCGGACAGGCCGGTCTCGCGGGGGTGAAACCGGTCTCGCAGCTCGATTGTCTACAGCGAGATAACTACATCAGGTTGGTAGTAGCGAAAGCTTTGCGACGTCATGGCGCGCGCTCCGCAAGAAAAGACCTTCCTCTTCGGGACGACTGACTCTAAAGACGCGTACCTTTTCGTGCCCCCTTATAACGCAGGTCAGTGAAGCTGCTGCCGGATGGAAGAACGCTAATAGTTGGCGGTGAAGCTAGCCAATTGTGCATCTGGGATCTAGCTAGTCCAACACCGAGGATCAAGGCGGAACTTACGTCAACAGCACCAGCCTGTTACGCGCTGGCCATATCGCCGGATTCGAAAGTCTGCTTCAGCTGTTGCAGCGACGGCAACATCGCCGTGTGGGACTTGCACAATCAGTCACTTGTCAGACAATTCCAAGGCCACTCAGACGGCGCCTCCTGCATCGACATCTCCGCCGACGGTACGAAACTGTGGACCGGCGGTCTGGATAACACGGTGCGTTCGTGGGACCTGAGAGAGGGCAGGCAGCTGCAGCAGCACGACTTCACCTCGCAGATATTCTCCCTCGGCTACTGTCCCACTGGCGAGTGGCTGGCGGTGGGTATGGAGAACTCGCGCGTTGAGGTGCTCCACGCCACCAAGCCCGACAAGTATGAACTGCGTTTGCATGAATCCTGCGTTCTCTCGCTACGTTTCGCCTCGTGCGGCAAGTGGTTCGTCACGACTGGCAAGGACAATCTTCTGAACGCGTGGCGCACCCCTTACGGCGCTTCAATATTCCAGGTTGGTGTGATCAAATCTCCTTTTGTCTCTTTCTTTTTCACTATTCGTTCTTCTCACCGTCGATTAACGCGACCAAGAAACGCACGACCGACTCCAACTGAAGTCTTTTTCGAGTTTATGGAGAAAATATTATACTTTTCATTTTTCTTATAAACTGCTTTCAGTTTTATTGTGTTTCTACTAGTACTATTAGTGAGATCCATTTTGCTAAGAAATATCTCGGGTAGAATTTTATCGGGGCATGCCCCAAATCCGTAAAGGGCCTAGATAGGCATGCCCTAAAATAGTCTTGGCATCGTTGGGCCTAGAAAGAATGTACAAAGGCAAATTCTAAATAGAATTTCCTTAACAGACCTTGAGTAGGCACTATTGGGAATGCTCCTAACTAGGCCTACCACTGTTGCATCTAGAAAGGACCTATAAAGACAAATTCTGAATAGAATTTCCTAACAGACTCTGAATAGACACTGTTGGGGATGCCCTTAATAAGTTCTGCTATCATTAGGTCTACATATGGTCAAGCAAAAGGATTTCTAAAGGAAAATTTGTAAATAGACTCAAAATAGACACAGATATGGATGTCTGTAAACATCAACACAATGTACTTATATAATTCAAAGACATGTGCTTATATAATTCAGTCAGTTCTTGTTTATTCAATTCTTGAAATAGTTTAAAGTCTTACAAAATTTTAGTTTACAATCTTAGACTGAAGTAAAATTTACATAAGTTTGAAGTAAAACCAAAATACCTATGATTTTGGTTCTCAAAAATACAGTCTTCCAAATAAGGCGTGTCATATTCCACACAGCAAGCTTTCCGAAAGATAACTTGGAAATTATATTGAAATATAACATTTAAATAATTTAGAAATATTTGTGCAACATTTTATCAAAATCTTTTTCACTAAAATATTTCAGAAATCGCTTATAATAAACGTTGATTTATATATTTATATATAAATTTAATTAATTTAATGAAATCTTATATGGTAATAGGTAGAAATCTTATAGGTAGATTTCTCCTTCTTTTAATTGTACTCCTTTATAATTACTCAAAGTTTATAGTCTTTCATGACTTTATTTATTTAATAACAATCAACAATAAAAAAATTTTACTATAAAAATTTAAAAATAACGAAATGGAAGTGCGGGATTTTGTAGACCTCACTTTATTAGCTAAGAGTTAAATTAATAATAAAAGTACGAAAAATATAATTTTTATTAAAATTTTATTAAGTTATATTATAAAAAAATTATATTACTGTGTTAATCACAACATATATGAATAAAATATAAGACGCTTATATCGATTGAAGAAGTGGCATAGTGTCTAAAGCAACAGATTCATAATCTTAGAGATGCCTTAGGCAGGGTCCAAGTTCGACGAGTCCCACCAGTGTCGGTGAGAATTTTTAAATGTGATGTAGCATTGGAATCAAGTAATCTAAAGTTTTCAAATAAAATCAGCAAGCGCTGCGACCTTTACGAATAGTTATTAGAAAAAAAGTAGTACATATCATACATAAAAGAATGTTTTTTTTCTACTTAGACGTGTCTAGATAGGGCCTACATAGGCATGCCAGAATAGGGCCTCGTCAGATTTACAAATCGGGCCCTGACTTACAAAAGCGTTACATCTCTGTACAGAGCCTACTCGGGTTTGCCTGAATGGCGCCTAGACAGAAATGGGGAAAAGCTATCTAGGGCCTTTACAAGCCCTCTTTTAAATTCCTACCCGGGATATAGCAATAGCTTTTTAATAGCACACTTCACAGTTCCCAAAATGTAAGTAGCATATGAAATGAAAGGATGATTGATTACTGCAGAATATCGATCTATATATACTCTTCGGGGTTACAAGATTCCGTAGTAATTTCTAGTATAAAATTTTCTCCGTGTATGTTCGAGCTACGTCCTCAGCTGCAGAAAGCAAACGTCTCCTTTTTCTCTCTCTAACCGAGCCGAACTTTAAGCTCTACTCTTTCGACCTGAATTTTCTAACATCTGTATATTCTAAAGAATCAATGTGTGTGTATGAACACTTAAGTTCTATTTACGTCCTCTCGATAACAGAAAACGCAAGAACGAAATTTCGCTTGTAGATTCGAACGAGAATCTCTCGACAACGCTAACTGGTTTATAAAATCAAAAGAAGTTGACCTCAGAGTGTCAAATGGAATATTGAGGTCGAAAGTAGAACCAAAATTTCGATATTTGTTAAGAGTCGATTAGGGAGCCGATTGGGAAGTCGAGATTGTATGTTTGGAAAATATCGATTCCGCTGAGCCAGACACGCTTCCTTAAGGTTTAAATTCCAATTGCGACGCGTACGCGGCCGCGTGCGTTTATTGCTACCATGAGAGAGTCTGGCCTACAAATTACGTAAATTACACCTTCGCACCTTTCGCGCGTAGTATAAGCGCGTTATTACGCGCCGCGACGAGAGACCGGACGAGAGACGTCGAGGACGATCGCGAAACAGTTCATTAAGGAGCTATATAATTACGAACAAACCGCGGGGAGAGAGAGCCGCACCGGAGCTCGCCGATAAGGCAAGTGAGAGAGTGGAGAGAAAAAAGCAACTGATTTATAAAGCTCATGAATAATCGTTCGCTGAACGCGAGCGAGCACGCGATTTCGTTATCGAGCGGAATTCGAGGCGGTGGAATAATAATAGATATCTACGAAGCGGCTCGTAAATATGTTTACATTTTTGACGTTTCATAAAACGAGAGCGAATCGACCAGCTCTCTCTCTCTCTCTCTCTCTCTCTCTCTCTCTCTCTCTCTCTCTCTCTCTC